TGCCCGTCCACCTGCAATCTTCGCTCATCTTGTCTTTCCTTCCTGTGGGCCAGTGTCATTCTCTGAGATGACTTCCTGGTGAGCATGGAAGATGATCACAAGTAGCCTCTACTTAGACCCTCCTTGCAAACGGGTCTTTAAGCACAGTAGGCCCGGGGCCTTGGCCTTACAATACCTTCGAGGGCCCCTGGAAATATGTGAACAGCTCTTAAAATCAGAAGGAAAAGCAAAACAACCCAAACAAAAAACCTTTAGTTCCTTGAAAGAAACAGTTTTAATATGTAATATTAATATATTTCTCTTTATACCAGCACAGTCATAAAGCCCTATATTTATTTGTTCATGTTCATAGAGGACAGGGTGAAGGCCAAAGTGCTTAGGCCCCTGCCTGCAGCTGACTATCAAAGAGGAAGAGAGACCCTGTATGTCTGTTTTCCTGGGTCAAACTATAGAGAAGATGCCAATTGGATCACACGCTAAAACACGGCTACTAAGAGGACTCTGATTGGCTGACTCAAGCCCCCTCCTAAGGGAAGGACATCACCCCCACATAAACTGAGGGGTGGAGTTTTCTGGAAGAAGGAAGCTTCTGGAAGAAAGACATACTCTGTTTTCAGAATATCCACCAAATTCTTACTATCTCCCCCAAACACCCCTTCCCTTGAGACACTGTCCTCCAGAAGAATTACTTCTCCACCACTTTCCTCTCCCTTAGCAGGTCTAAGGGGTGTGGCTGCCTGTATCACAGAGCCCAGGTATTTCCAGCACTAGGGCTCAGCTCCTGGAGGGCAGGACCACGGACTGGGTAGTAGAGACACGGCCAAGGAGCAAGGTCTTTTCGAGGAAGGGCCCTTTCAGCTAAGTGGAGGTATGAGGAAGAGCTCCCGGGGCAGAAGGTGGGGTCCACCAGGGTGGAAGGTTTACCAGTCCACTCTGATCTTGGAGTGGGAGGAGTTGGGGTGCAGAGAAGGATGGCGCAGGAGGTGAGGTTGAAAGAGGATAGAACAAGAACATGGAGCGCTGCCAATGCCTCCAAGAGGATTTTGGATTTGATCCTGTAAGCCAGGCCTCTTCACCTGGGTCCTGAGGAGGGCTGACCCAAAAACCCAGCCAGAGAGTCCATTCTGACTACAGAGGGTTTCTAAGACTGTCAGTCTCTACTGGAGCAGACAACCTCACCTGTCCCCGGGAGGTGCCCTCTCCTGAGGGAGAGCTGAGGGCTTGGAAGTGTTGAGGAATCTCCTATCTCGGTTCTCATGAGATTCCCGGAGGGAATGAGTACTAGCCACTCATCAACTCATCATGGAGAGGGCCACTCAAGCACACTGCCCTGAGGACAGTGGAGGATGGCTGGAGGACTGAGAGGCTGCAGGGCGACCTGGTAGCCATCTGTGTGCAGATGGGACGGAGAGGGACGATGGCAAAGAAAAGACGGTGGTGGGAATAAGGTCCGCTTTGCAGGTGGGAGTAGATGGCAATGAAGACAAAGTACAAAGTGTCTTTGCGACTTCTTGTTTGTATCATCACTTCCCCGGAAGATGGTTAACAAGTCATTTTTATGATTGCTTTTCATTTCTTCCTCCCATTTAGGGGATACTTTTATGTATTTGAGAGTACTTTTAAGAGCATGCACAGGATAAAGAACTTATAGACACTGACTTCTCTTTATTCCCCCCCCCTCAGCTCTAAAGACTGGGCTTGGTTCTGTAAACACAGTGTTTGTTATCCTATAAGTTTAAAAGAATGATTCAGACGTGACAAGCAACTAGTTGAGGCATAAGAAGGTCTTTTCCTTGGCTGTCTCATATCTGCCTACAGTGACTAAGGCCATTTTTCAATGCCAACCGTTAGTTAGCTTTGCTCCTTTTAGCTTAGCATCTGTCAATCCCACAGCTCAATAGTTAAGGGTGGACGCATCGTACTGTAGCTGTGAAATCCGTGCCTTCGATGCTCTTCCCGTATGTTCTGGTCGGGAGAGAGTGCGTTCTGTTTGAAAGCGACAGGTGTTTGTTTTAAAAGGGCTTCCAAATTCATGAACCTAAGTTCCTGTCCTGGAAAGCGGCCTGTGAGCGCACACAAACTCGAATTTCAAAGGAAGCGAGACCCTCTGCCCATCCCCACTGGTGTGCAGAGCTACCAAGAGAGTTGCCTTTCCTAACCTGACTTTGTTCGCCCCGCCCCCCTCCCCTCACAGCTACCCGCTCCCCTCCCCAGTGCTCAGCAGCTCCGACCGGCTGCCCTTTGGCATTGAGGAGAACGGGGGCACACCCTTCACCACCAAAGCGCCGGGAAGGCATCATCACCACCACCACCAGCACCACACAAACTATGGCCTCACCCTGACGCTGGAGAACAAAGAGGGCCCTTCGAGGTCCCCTGGCTCCAGCAATAAGTCCCTGACGAGTGAGTAGAGGGGAGAGAGGCAGGGGCAGGCAGGGTGGGGGGAGAGATGCTGGGGAATCCAATCCGGGTAGCTTCCCCAGATCCTGAAGACAGGACCATGTCACCCCGGTCATCGTGCTGTGAGTGCGCTTAGGCCAGAGCTGACCGAGCCTGGGGCAGTGCGACACAGCTGAGGAGGATGGTTTTCCAGTCCCCTCTGATGTCACAGGGCGGCTCCTCCATCTCACTCCTCGGCAGTTCTCTCTGCGCAGCTCCCATTCCTGGCTCAGGCCAGCAGAAGCGGGAGAGAGGGGTGGGTATGAGGTGGCTGGAATTACAGAGAAACCTATGCTCCCCACCCCCCATTTCTCACATGTCCACTTCTGATAGGTCCAGTCCAACCAGCCAGTGTTTACTGATACACAGCCCACTGAGAGAAGAACAACAACAGCGACTGAGAGACCAAGTTTAACGCTGAGACAGCGTGTTTTCAATCTGTTAAAGCTACTCAGAAAGATGGGCTTGCATGTCATATGTCTGTTACGTTTTCTAGAGGTTCACCTTTATCATATTTTACAGCCTTGGCCTGTGCTGAATCGGAGGCGGTGGTAGGGAGGGTTTGTTCTTTGTCACACATGGTTGGAAATGTTCTCGCCCACACAGGAGGCTTACCTTCTGTGTTCCTCGCTATGGAGCCCAGCCTTGTCCTCAGGCCTTGGGGTTTGCCATCTATCAATTGGGGTGAAACCAAGGAGCCCTCTAACTCTGTCATTTCACGAGTCTGTGACCTGGGGAGACCATACTCTGCTGTGGACTCTGGGGAGCGATTCTGGCTGGCTGGACTTGGGGTTGGGGTGGCGCTCAGGGTCCCCTCGCTGTTCAAAGATGGGAACCTTCATCACTCTCCACCTGCCCACCCTGCCCTCACCCTGGTCTTTGCCTTATCCTGGCGTACCTGAGCGATTGTTAGAGCCTCCTGAGGACACTGTAGCCACACAGCCCAAATGACGCTTCTAGAAGCATATCAGACCAGATTGTTTTATGGCCTTAGAACCGTTCAATGGCCCTTCCTTGTCCTCAGCTAAAGCCCACACCCCGAGCATGACCGCACACAGACCTTCAACCTAGCCCCCAGGGTCAAGGCTGGCCAAGGCCTCCATCCTCCAGCCTCCCTCATCACATCTGGATCTACTCGCCCCACACCAACCGCTGAGCCACCTTCGGCTCTGCCCTTGACCCCTGCTGGTAGCGCGCCTGCAAGGCCTGGCTCCACCCTCATCATCTCCCACAGCACGTCTTTCAGGAGTCCGCGCAAACGGTTATCCAGCCCTTCAAGGGAATTTCCTTAACGCCCCCACCCCAATTCAGACTTTAGCGTCCCTTCCGTCTTCCTCTACTATTATTTTTTTTAGAAAGCTAAAGTATTTTATTTATTGTCAGCAATAAAGGCTGGCTGATGGCGGTTTTCCGTAAGAGCTTTTACAAGACCACACCCTCACACTTAGCCATTCAGTAGCACTTCTGCCGTTTCCCTTGGAGTAAGTAGCTGTGCTTGGATCCATCTCCCGGCTCAGCCACCTCTTTATTCCAGTTCCCCACATCCCAGTTGCTCACAATACTTGGGACAAGTATTTAGCATGCAGGCAATGATATAATGCATGCGTGAGTGAAGAATCCCAGCTAGTGGGTGAGTGGGAGGCCGTGCAGCAATCAGAATCCGTGCATTTGGTTTAGAAACAGAACATCAACTTGAAGAGCACCGGGAGAGGCAAGACTAATCTTTCTATTGTGGAGTGCTTTTCATTCATAAAGCATCGTACAGAATGATCTCACGAAAACTTGCAAAGGGAGTACATTTCTTCCCACATCTAAAGGGCTCTGAGGCTCAGCGGGAGATAAAGCAACTTGCCCAGGGCCACACAGCTTATATTATCTGGAAGGGCTTGCGCAGGTGTGGGAGAGCGGGTGGAGGTGGGCAGGTGGGGATGGGGAGAAGGGGGGGTGGGCCTTGAAACCTTGACTTTCCGTGTTCTCACACCCATCAGCTACACCTTCAGGGGGTTCCAGCTGCGGCAGAGATGCCCCAGAAAGGGCGTTGGGGGTGAGGCTGTGGAAGTTAACGATCACCCACCTCTAACTGCCCTTTTCTCCTTTCCTGTTATTCCCCCCACCCTACATTTTTAGAGCTGAGTCCAGGAGCACCTGCCCTGTTCAGTGAACCGACTGCCCATCTGAAGAAGCTGGAACTGGAAACGGTGAAGGCTGTTGGACCCTGGCCTGCTCTGCACATCAACATAAACAAGGTGCCCAGGGCATGGGCTGGGGGCTCATGTCCACTTGGGGCGATAGCCTCTGGACCATGTGAAGGGCTTCCTCTCAACATTTCCTGACTTGGCTGCTCACAGTATCTTTTAGAAGCAAAGCTGGTGCTTATACTCTTAGGGGGGTGGATTACTGACGACTTCTTGCCTTCCTTCCGTGTTGAGGCTGCCAGATGAGTTCTGTTTGTGGCTAATCTTTCCCTTCTGCCAGACTGAACGTTCCCTGAGGGCAGCATCCACACGTCCTTCCTTCCTCTGAGGCCTCTGCCTCCTTGTGATGACACCTGGCACAAAGTAGATGCTCCATCACGATTTGCTGATGGAAGGAAGCGGGGAGGGAGGGAGAGGGAGACAGGGCAGAGGCCAAGCTGCAGTTTGATCAGCCCTGGTCTTGCAGCTCCAAGAGCAGCGTGTCCAAGCCACTGATAGCCTGAGTCCTTGAGTCAGAGCCTGAGTCCTTGAGTCAGAGCCTGAGTCCTTGAGTCAG